GCAGGCTTTCATCCAGACCCATCAGGGTAGCCATTGACCCAAGTGGTGGCTCTTTTGGGAAGTATTCCTCAAAAATAGTCCATTTATGAGCCAAATACTTTCCTCCTAACTTTGGCCAACAGAAACAGGTTTCCTACATTCATAATGAGCAGCTGTCTTTCTGAAGGTATTATTGATGGACAATCAGCCTCTGGCCCTGCTCAACACTTATGGGTTCATGTTTTGCAGGAACTTGACACAGTGGACACATGTACTCAGGATGATTTAAACTTGTGCTGGCCAGGCAGGGGATCTTCTAGCACCCTCAGTGTACTTATATGCATATTTTTTCCCTAAAGAGAGAAATAAGCCTGCACCTTAAGGATCTTTGGAAATGTAATGAAGTCAATTCAGAGGCTGAGATGCTGGATTTTTATCTACTACCACCCCACAGTGGTTTCCCTATGGGAACTCTGCTTCCCTATGATCGCAAAAATCAACTGATACCAGTCACATTTATTCCTTTTACTTGATAAAAATCCAATTGACCAAAATAAATTTCTTCCCCAAATTCACCAGTATCCTCCAAGTCCAAAAATTGAACAGCGAATCAAGACTTTTGTTGAAGAGTTCCTGCATCAAAGACTAAAACTCCATCCTCCCTGCACAGAAGCCTCATGGTTGAAGATGGTGGTTTGTTCAACACCTCAGGACAATTAATGACATTGACATTGTCATTCCTAGACAGCCTGTGGTTTCTGATCTCCATACTCTTCACTGCCATACCTCCAAAGAGAAGGCTTTTTTCAAGCTGTTCATCCCAGTGGATCCAAAAAGCCAGTGTCTAGTCATCTTCACCTAGGAAGGCCAACAATTTACATGATGCCTTCACTAAAGGCATCACTAAAGTTGGAGATACTGAAACTCCAACTTGCTTTCTTCTTCCAATATCACCCTTGTTCACTGTAAGAACCTCAGTCTTGCTCCCCTGCAACTTCTCACTTCAGTGGAAGCTCCCATGGCTGCCTGGTGATGACAGACTGACTGTCAACAAAATAGTCTGACAAGAAATTCCATCAGAGAATGCAGAAACTGTCAGGGAGGCTGCTGGATCTCACCATAGAGATGACAGTGGGCATTACGAAGCTGGATCTGAAATTATAGAAGCAAAGTCTTTCTCACAGGCTAAGCCAGCATAGCACACTCACTGAGCTTGTGGGAATGGCCAACATCGTCTCTGAAAGAAAGCTTGCTTTTTGGTGTTACTCATGATTTCAGGAAGTTGTGGAAAAAGGGGATTTCTAACCTCCTCTGGTCAAAAGATTTAAGAACAGTTCGTATGTGTTAGAGCTTCTAGGTGCTTTCCAATTGCTCATATCTGGTCATGAATGAAAGTCCCTTTCCATTCCAAGAATAACACTGAGGAAAGCAGCTGCCACAGCAAAACAAATGGCTAAACTGGAAGAGCTCTACACTACGGTGAACATTGTCTTTATAAGCTCTCTATCCTCAAAATTCCTTCCCTGAAGAGGAAATAGAAAAATGGCAAAACCAAAACTCTTTCAACAAGTCCTTATTTCTGTTCATTTTCAAAAGTATGCATTGAATGTATTCATGCACTAAGCCACTGGAATACTGATTAAAATGGGCTAAACAAGAATTTTCGAAGGCATCTCAAGAAATTTATCATAATTGTCTCATATGTCCTAAGCATAACCCAGGGAAACCTGTTCTCACTTCCACTTTTCATCCTCCTTTACTTCCAGGCCCTTGAACTATGGCAGATGGACTTTATCCACTCACCTCCATCCTTGCACTGCAGATATGGTCCTCATTTTTATTTACACAAAGACCTACACCATCTATCTCTATCTTATAGACAAGTGCCCCACTGAGATTAACAAGACCAGACTATGGCAGAAACTTCCTTAAATTAAATATCATTCAGATGGCTTCTGGAAAGCCTGTGGTCACACCCATTCTTGGTTTGATAATGTTGTTTTAGCTTCCTGGTCAACAACAAAATACACGAAACTATGCTTGGTTGTATTGTCTGCAACCTCAAGTGTGTACTTTTGTCTGTGACATAGGCACTGGTCCAGCAATTCAGGGATGGGCCCGCTGTTGTTTAGACAGCTGGCAAAACAAAGGCCTTCTTTTAAGAGCATTTCATTACCCCATTCTGTCTCTACCCAAAGCCACGTTTTCAAAAAACAGTAATCCCCCTATTATGAAGAAAATGTAGGTCAAATCATACTTGGCCATCTTATTCCCAGTGCTGGTGTATGTGTAAACAGACATGATTACAAATATTTCCACCACCACAGATCAAATAGCACAAAATATTGACAAGCGTGTTGCTGCACCAGAAAAACCATTAGGCTCTTGCCTGAGAGTCCAAACTAACAGAATTGCTCTTGATTACTTACCACCAAACACAGAGGCATAATGCAAAAGCAAATACATGTTGCACCCGTGTAAACACTTCTGGGAAAGTAGTGATTGGGGTAGAAGGAGTCAGCCGAAATGCACACTGGTTGCAGGATGACCTCACCAGGTGTGGTGGCACCGCCAGCACCCAGGAGGTGGAGACTTGAGGATCACAAATTTGAGGCCAGCCCAAGCTGCATAGCTAGAATGTGTTTCAATAAACCAAGGGCTGAGCATGTAGCTAGCTTGTACAAGGCTCTGGGCTTCAGCCCCAGCATCATGGAAAAACAAGAAATAAAAAAAGATGAGAGCCTGTATGCTCTATATGATTTGTCCAGCTGGTTGCCTCAGGGATGAGCTCTCTACTTAGAAGAATAATATGAGGATGATGCCTAACAATTTACTTCACATCCTTCTGACTTTTACTATCTCCTGATGGTGGATTTACTATCTTTTTTTTAATTTTTATTTTTTTATTATTCATATGTGCATACAAGGCTTGGGTCATTTCTCCCCCCTGCCCCCACCCCCTCCCTTACCACCCACTCCACCCCCTTCCTCTCCCCCACACCCCCTCGATATGATTTACTATCTTTTTAACTTCTGTAAATCCATGGATGGAATTTCTGTAAAGAATTACACTAACTGCTTTTCCTAAATGAAAATTGAAATCTAGTTGATATTTAACTCGTGCCACTTTGTGTGTCTTTTACAAAACTCTGGCCACTTGGTCAGTTCTAATTTCTAATTTAATGACAATTTTTATGAAGAGCTGAATGACAATAACCATTACTACATTTTACAAGAAGGTCCAATATTTTGATTATTAATTTTACATAAATTCACTCTAATGAATGACTGTGGCAAGCATAGCACGCACTGAGAGCTCTTACTTGCAGAGGCTATCCCTTCTCCTCCAGAATAGCAGAGAGATGAATACAAATATATTCTGGAGAATGAACTTAAAAATGAACAAAGAGAAAAACCCAGGAAATTCAACTCTATCTTACTCAAGAGAATAACTCAGGATGAGAGATAAGACTTCTAAGGGTCAAACCTTAAGTTGTCACTTAAAGGATCCCTACTGAAGCTAGTTGGGTAGGTTCTAAGTACATCCAAAGCTTACTGAGCACCAAAGACCTTCATAAAATTAAGGAAGGAGGTAAAGCATGGTGGAAATGAATTTATTGCTGCAAAATGAAATTCTGTTTTTTTCCCAGCTGATTGAAATACTTTTACAATGACTCTGAGTATATGTTACTTGTAGAATAAACAAAAATGGAAGACCAAAGTGTACTTCTTAGGCAGCATCATTGCAGCAGGGGCAGTAGAAATATTTAGAATACAGAGATCTACTGAGCTCCTGCATCTCTTATGTCCTGTCAATGGTATAACATCAGGCATTTGTTTAGATTCTGCTTTTTCTTTTTCTCCACAAAAGGCCATGGGAGCCCACTGAAGTTACTTCCTCTTTCAGTGAATATGACCTACCACTTCCTGAGTAGTATAGATACAATGTAAGTACAACTAAAAGTGTTTTCATAAAATAGGCCTGTAATAATAGCTTTCAAAGAAGACAAACAACCACTTTGAAGTTGAACCACAATTTGTGATTGCTATGATTGGATATTCCCACCAAAAGCCATGTTGAAATTTAAACCCCATTGTGAGATATGAAGATGGAACCACGTGGAGACTTTAAGAAGGGATTAGGTCATGAATGCTCTGCCTTCATGAAGGGATTAATCTACTAGTGGATTCTTTAATTAATAGGTTAATGAGTGACTTTTAGAATGGGTCTGTTATAAAAGTGAGTTTGGTTTTTGTCTCTTGGATGCACCTGTCTCACCATGTGCCACCTCAGGACTCTTCAGAGTCCCCAACAGCTAGAAGGATCTTGCAGCCTCTCAAACGTGGGTCTTCCCACCTGCAGAACCATGAGCTGAATCAACCTTTATTCTTTATTAATTATACACTCTGTGGTATTCAGTTATAGCAACAGAAAACTGACTAACACAGTTCTGTTGCACTTAAGAGATTTAAATGGGAGTTTCTTGCCTTCAATTAGTTAAATGTTTGGTCATGAGAAGAGAAGCACAAATGTAAGAACAGCATGTACAAATTTATAGATGTAGCATATAACTTCAGAGGGATTCTCAAGCAAGATATTTTTATAGCCTTTGAGAGAGATAGAAAAGTTATTAAATTAAAATAATTTATTAATAAAACTACAACTAAAACTGAAAAATTTGTCCTTGAGTAAACATAACTCTATTACATAATTTAGATTCAAATAGAAGGAAATTTAAAGCGAGCATCAGATAATAGTCTTCTCTGACATATTAAGTACTCAGTGCCGTGTGGAAAAGTAGTAGAACAGTCAGATTTCTTACTTTCACCAACATACCAACAACAAACTACTGAAAAACAAAACTGTAAATGCAATTTTAATTTATATTAGATTAAAAATGCTGTGTGTTTAGGAGTAAAGGTAACAGATATAACATAAGTATATACTTATAAAACATAACTGTGAATTTAAGACCTAAATAATTTAACCAAATAAGTTAAATACATGTCATATTTACCTTTCACATTCTGGGCTCTCTCTGCTGTGCAATTTTTCTCATTTCATTTCTCTTAATGATCATAATAGAGAAAGTTATGAGAAATGGCAGAAGAATGTAGAAACTCAGAATAAGCCAGTTGTCCCAATGTTTATTGAAGCCTTTCTTAATAAAAAACATATCTAGAAATGAAATATCAGAAAGTACACATTCATTGGGAAATTAAATAAATTTACATTTTCTCACTTAACCATAAATACTTTTTTTTCACACATTGCAAACTGTTATAGGGAAAAATCAAAGATCTTTTAAGCTCATATCCTCAAACTGCATGGTACATTTTTCGTAGGTTTCCTATTTGTCTTTTATGCATATTTGTGTAAATATTCTGGTGTTGTATATGTATGGTTTTGAGTGCTGTTGCTTACAAGTGGAGTTCAGTTGTAACATCAATAATTCAAAAGTTCCCATTGCTCAACCTCTCGCTCTTGCAGGTACTAACTTTCAGTGAGATGAGTAACACAGTGACTATAGAAAATGACAATGCACTATACATTTCAAAAAGCTAGTAGAAGGATGATGAGGGATTTCATCACAAAGAAAAATGATAAATGTTTGAGGAAATGAATATGTTTAACTTGATTTAAATATTGCACAATGTATACATGTACTGAAATACTACACAGCACTCCATAAATGTATAATTTGTATCATTAAAAAATAATTTTGGCTGGGTGCCAGTGGCTCACTCCTGCAATCCTAGCTATTCAGGAGGCAGAGATCAGGATGATCACAGTTCGAAATCAGCCCAGGCAAATAGTTCATGAAGCCCTATCTCAAAAAAATACCTATCAAAAAAAAAAAAAAGGGGCTGGTGGAATGGCTCAAGGTGTAGGCCCTGTGTTCAAACCCTAGTACCACAATTTTTTTTAAATTTAAACAAAGAAATTATAAGTTAATATATTAATAGAGGTTAAGTCAAAATTTTAGAAAGTATTTTTTAAAATCCTTTATCCACTCTCTAGCTAAAACAGTTTCTGTCCTTGGAGAAAACAATTTTTAAATGAGTCTCATCTCTCTATTCAGTATTAATATTTTATGCATATAATAAATCCCTGTTTATACCTACACCTATATCTACATATCTATACATATTGTGTGCATGTGTGTCTCTATGTATGTAGATTTCTCCTTTCATTGGCATTCTATAAGAATGCTTATTTTTTACACTTTTTAAAAGTGCAGTATTACACATTTCAGAAAAGTGAACAATATATAAATATATTAGTAAAATTAACAATAAATTAACAAAATGAATGTGAATATGTCTGTTGTCCAGGTCTCAAGACAGACCCTGTCAGAATCTGCAAAGCACGGCAGGACATTCGTTATCTCATCATTTATTCTTCTCCAAAGGTTATGTAGATTCTGATTTTTTCCAATTATTATCTATCTAGTAAGTTTTAGTGAAGCATGTAACATATTAACAAAAACATATGCATACAATTACACTGCTCAAATATTTCCTAAATTAAACATGACCATGCAATTGGCACCAAATCCAGGACTCCTAATGTCACCCCTCTCCTAGGCTGCTTTTGCAGTCACTGTCTTCTCAAGAAAAACCCCTACTTTGGCCGCTGAAAGCATAGATCATCTTTGACAGATTTTAAATGTTATATTGATGGGATTATACTATGTGTACTTTTTCTGTCTGACATTTTTTGGTTTAATAGTGCTAATTTTTAGGATCCCCCCATATTGTTGCTTATAGTTATAAAATGTTTGTTCTTATCAATGCATATTACATTGTTTTCCAAAAATAACATCTGTTAAGGGTCCTATTCCAAGACACATGGGATTTTAGGAACAGTGCTGCAGTGACTATCCTACTACATATCTTGGGGTCGGCATGTTCACATCCCTCTCAGGTACGTGCATCCCTGGGGAATGGCAAAGCTTGTTCATAGCATGTGCGTGTTTGTTTTTTAGTGAGTATTTTAAATGATTTTCCTAAGTGGCTACAATTATATTCCCATTAATAATAGATGAAGTCTACGTTGTTGCATTATCTTTGGTACTTTCCTTCTCTTTATGTATTGATTTTTCTTATGCCATAAAATGCACAGCCAGATGAGATTTGACAAGTATATATCCCATGAGGCAAAAACATCACAAGAGACAAAGAAAAGGTCTTATGTAATGATAAAAAGATCTTTTTACTCAGAAAGCATAACAACTGCAAATATAGTCATGTACTTAATGACTAGGATATGCTCTTAGAAATGCATCAACAGACAATTTCATCATTGTTCAATCATCTTGGAGTGTATTTACACACACTATATGGTACAGCGTACTATATACTAGGCTATGTGGTATCATCTATTTCTCCTAAGCTCTAAGCATGTATACAATGTCACCATAGTGAATAAAATCGGCAACTGTATGTGTTTCTAAACATAGAAATGATACAATAAATATATAGAATTAAATGGTCATTTATCGTGAATGAAGTTTGCAGAACAGAAATTTGCCCTGGGAAAGTTTAGGGTGGTGACAGTGTGAGGGCCACGGATGTCACTCTACTACAGAGTTTGTAAACATGGTGCAGTTAAGCTGCACTAAGTTTATAACAAAATACTAAGTTAACCTTAGTTTACTTTTTACTTTATAAAGCTTGTAAATTAGTTTAACATTTTTTGACTCTTTTGTAAAATAACATTGCTTAAAACACAAACACATTGCCAAGATATACATACATAATATTTTCTTTCTTTGCACCTTTATTCTATAAGCTTTTCTTTTAAAGTTTGTGCTTGTTTTCTTACTTTTAAAGTCTTTTTGTTGTAGTTAAAAACAGAGGCATAAACATTAGACTAGTTCTAAAGAGCACAAGAAGTCAATATTATTTCTCCATATCTTGTGCCGCTGCAGGTCTCCAGGGTCAGTAACCTGTGTGGAGTGTCATCTCCTGTGAGGACAGTGCTTTCTGTAATCCCTCCCAATGAACCTGTCTGTGGCTCTTCTTGAGAGGGGTGTCACTCTCTTCAGAAACATGTCCATGTGCTTTGCATAGTTTATTTCTTTTTTTTTCATAAGCTTGAACAAAAGTCCTTCTCGAGTTAGAGGTCTTAAGAATGACAATTATTCATTGGTTGGCTGATTGGATCAAATAGGTGGGTTTGGAGGGAGATGTACCACTTTGATACTGGAATGAAGTCACCAACAAAACGAACATGTGGAGGAGCCTTGTCAAAAATAAGCAGAATCTTGAAGGGCCCATCATTCTCTGCCGAGGACCTTGCTGTTTCTCTAGCTTAGCAGTTCAGAGTGGCATCAAGAGGAGGAGTTGGGTCATCCATGACTTTATTACCCTGGAGCACATGGGCAGCCTGTGCTTGAAATCTGGCAGTGACCAGGCCTTCTCGTGGCTGGAAGGCCTTTCAGATATCCATTTATAAAATAGAGAGATTTCATCCATGTTGGAGATTTGCTCTGGCAAGTAATTTTTATCCATGAAAAACCCTTCTGGATTTCACACTAGCCAATACTTGCACACTATGTAATGAATGACAGCTCTTAAATCATTTAAACCACCTACACCAAGCAGTAAATTCACCCTTCCTTTTTCCATCTGTTCAAATCTGCTTTGAACATCTGTACTGAATATTTCAGTTTAGATAGTGTACTTTTCAGTTCCAGAATTCGTTTGGTTCTACTTTATCATTTCTATCTCTACTGACATTCTCATTTTGTTCCTACTTTTTTTTTTTTTTTACTGATTAACCTTAGTTCTTTGTCCAAACTTTCCTTCAGGTGTTTGAATACATTTAAGATAGTAGTTTAAAGTCTTTGTCTAGTAAATCTTATTTTGGAACGTCTTTTAAGATGGTTTCTGTTCATTTGTTTTGTTGCCATAAATAAGCCAAGCCTTGTGAACTATTTTTGTGGTTGAAAATTGGGCTTTTGACTATTACAGCAAGGAAATCTGGAAATACTATCTTGCATTCCTTCCTTAGGGTTTGTCATTTGTTTTGATTGCTACAAACTTCAACAGTTCATGTTGAATGACTTTACAAACTCATTTTGCAAAGACTATATTCCTCATCTATATGACAACCAAAGGAGGATTCCTTTAGCTTTTGTTGATAATGTTTTCACAGCAATGTCTTGAAAAACAGGGGCTAAATTAGAAGTAATAATAATGATAATAATAATAACCAGACACCCAAAGCAAAGGTAAAATGAAAAACATACATGAAGCACTTCCTAGACATTGCAGAATGAGACTGTGATGTGTCATTGCTTTCACTTAACCAGGCTTTCATTGACCAAAGGAAATACCATCAGGCAAAAGCTTACATTCCCTGAGCATGGGTTTGAACTAGTCATGCATGTGCCTTTCTAAATTCTTCCCCATGCAAGTTATTTTGAATGTCTTAATGTCCCAAAGATATATTCTGTTAAGTCTCCAGTTATTTCCTGGTGTGTCATTTGTCCTAAACAGGTTGATAATTTCAGTCCTACAAGGCAGCTAGTCCTCCATGTTCTCCTGACAACATAACTGCCTGTGTAGTAGAAAATACTCAAAATACTGGATCATTCCCACTATTTCCACCCTGAGTCTATCGCAGTAACACTAATGGTTTTTGCATATTACTTTTTCCTGGTTGAACTACAATGTTAACAGAATTGAGTGAGGAGAGATCAGATCAGGCTAAGAAAAGGAAATCACAGACTCACACTCTTGTTATCACAAGTAATTTTCATGAAAGGTTTGCTAGTTTGTGTGCCTTTGGTTGATCTCTAGAATAGTATAATGGATGGGGAAATTTGGAGCCACCATTTTGAAAATATCTTTTCCATAACACATTCTCTCTCTCTCTCTCTCTTCCTCCCTCCCTCTCTCAATCTTTCCCTCATCTCCTTCTCATTCATCACATATATACAAAAATGGTAGAGCTTGTCTTACAAACCTACCACTCATTTTTCAAGGATAACATTCTACTCTTACTTGTTGACCAATATTTCATGTAATATTCTATCGCCATTCTGTGATGGCCAAAAACATATATCCATTTGGCTCTTCTTTGTACTCTCTCCTTTCCAAGGATTAGCAGTCATCTCAGTTCAAAGATTATGTTCCTAAAATACCATTGCTTCTTGAAGTTATAGGTAGTGCCTTTATCTCATGTCACTGCACAGTTTTAGCATTCCATGATGATTTTGATTATGTAAGTTAACTATAAACTATGGATTATCAATATTGATGTCCCTAATGTATTAGAAACACCATCCTCAAGTGCCCAATTACATATTTGCATGAATTCTCCCACAAATAACCCTACTTCTCCATACAAAATTAAATTGTTGATATTCGTGCTGTCTCCATTCACTGATTCTTGTATGAAAATTTGTATATCATCCTCAACCATTTTTCTTCATGTATCAAATATAATTGATAACTGTGCTTTATTCATTGTTTTTTTACAAATACCTGATGTTATGAAGCACCTTATTTATCTTCCCTTTCCTTGTCTACTTAAGGCCCGTATAATTAAGGTCATTGTTTGCCAAACAATATACCTTCATTTAGACTGACATTATCAAATGGCCATAATACTTCTTGTGTAGAATTTCTGAAATTGGATCTCAATTTTATTGCCTCTTCAGACACCCAACAGCATATTTGTGGAAGGAATGTATAATGAATGAATGGTTGAATCAATGGATAATTTATTGCAATGCCTCCGCTCATAGAAAAAGCAGAAAGTACAAATATGTACTCCTCTATCACTTGAAATATGACTGATATACTATTTTTCCAAGAAACATATATTTCTGTTTTTCCAGGTGATTTTCCATATTTCATTTGTAATGCACACTGTACCCTACAGTGTTTTAATAGCCTAAAGTTTTAATAATTTAAAGTGCAGCACTGGGCACTGGTAGCTTATAACTTTAATGCCAGCCACTTGGGAAGCTGAGATCAGAAGGATTGTAGTTTGAGGCCAGCGTGGGCAAACAGTTCATGAGATCCCATCTTCAAAATAATAAGAGTAAAACAGACTGGAGGAGTAGTTCAAGTGGTAGAGTGCGTGATTTGCAAGCATGAAGTCCTGAGTTCAAGCCCCAGATTCACCAAAATAATGATAATTATATAAAGTGCAAATCACAGGTACAGTTTCATTATTCTATATGTAATTTTCAAAAGTTTACTTGATGACAGTTATTGAAACTAAAGAGTACTGTTTTATTTTTCTTTATATAACTATGATGATTAAAGTGAATGCCTCTGGGAAAAGCTTATTACAAATATTGTGTAACAATTTAAATAAACCACCATCATAACTCTTTGAATAAGTCAAATCATGAAATATTTGACTAAGGATTAGATTTCTTCAGTTAGCTGCATATAAAACAACATTCTATTTTTGCTTTAAAAGTTTAATTTCTACTGACCTGATTTCCAAGTATTTCCATCATTGACACTGCCCCCTGGTGAACCAACCTGGAATTCACAGTCTGGAGGCCTGTGGTCAGGAAAGCATTGGCAATTGCCAAAATTATTACAAATCTGAAACCAAAAAATATTCAGTTACTTTGAATGATCTTAGTATATGTAATTGATATAAATGCTTGACTTACATAAGATAAATAATTTTTCTTAATATTTTTATAACTATGAGAAATTGGTTTAAAAAGTAGTGAAAATCTTGACAACACAATCATTACCTACATGAAAAATTATTTTTAATCTCCACACATTGACTATTTGAATGACTAGTTTATCTTCTCCAATAATCTTTTAAAAACAAGATTCAATAATGTATTTTTCTACCTATCAAAAGCAATTTCAATAAAACAAGTTTGAATTACAGTCTTAAATTCTACAAAGTGATCTGTAGTTTTATATGTCCATACTTCTATACCTGACCGTTCAGTGGACTGGCAATAAACATTTTAACACACGGTTCATAAGTTAGGATAGGGATACCACTGTGCATAATTTTAAGCTTATTCCACAATTGTTAATCCTTTTGTGAGTTAATTTACATTTATTTGAACAACATAAAACAACAAAGTTTATCATTGTCTGCTAACTTAAAGGAAATAGTCAGTTAGCCAGAGCAAAATAATACCAAGTAAATAGTATTATACACATTTTCTTAAGTATTAACATTTCAGACCATATGTATAGTTTGGCTTTTCAATAAGTAAAATGAACAAACCCCACAAACCTTAGACAATTTTTGGTGATAATTCTAATCTCTAGAGAAATAAAAATAGAAAAGTAATCTTATAACATTCTATACAGTGTGAACAGAATGAAACTAGCATTCATTTCCTCCCTGTCAGGACTAAAAGCAACAGGAGAACAGCAGTGTTTAAGGAAAACTGAAATTGAATAGTCCTTTAGGCAACAAAGAGACATTTATTTGGAAGGGCAAAAAATAATTTGTATTTTGGATACAAGATCTGCAAATGTGTATCTCCACACTCACAGTTCTTCCCACACTTGGAATGAAGTAGTATTGCAGCATCCCACCTCTCCCATGAGAGTCGAGATTCCTATGAACTCATAGAGTGTTTGGCTTACAGTAGCAAATCTAAATATAACTTCCACTGGAACATAATTTTAAGAAACAAAGTTAACCTATCTTTTACAGTACCAGGGACCTCAGAATCCAACATAGCAAATAAAAACAGAACTTAGAGGTAAAGGATGGAATATGTGTTAAAAAGTGCACAAGGTGGTCATGACTTCATTTGAGTGTAGGGAGAAGTGGGTTTTATTTACATTTGATATAGAGAAATAAGTGTAAGAACAAATGTTAAAATACAAGGGGACCTTTTCAAAGTTACATTCTATAACTGCCTTTACATTAGGGCAAGGTAGAACAAGAGAAGGAGTTTAAAAATGACTTATTCAAAATGAATGGGGAAAGCCAGACATGGCAGTTCATACCTGTAATTAAAGCTGCTAGATAATTTCTAAACTCAGTACCCCCATTCATATACTGAAAATGCAACCCCTGCTACCTCAGAATACGACTACATTTAGAAATGAGTTCTTTAAAAGGATGATTAAGTTAAAATGAGTTTATTGGTGTGGGCTTTAATCTAATTTGTCTTGTGTCTTTATAAAAAGAGAAAATTTAAACACACAAGGAGACCCTGGAGTGCATGCACACAGAAGAAGGACCATGCAAGGACACAGTGAGAAGCCAGCAGGCCATCTGTACACTAGGGAGAAAGGCCTCCGGATGAAAAAAATTGCCTACAGATTGATGTGGAACCTCTAGCTTCCCAAGCTACGAGAAAAAAATAAATATCTGTTCTCTAATCCACCCAGCCCATGATATCTTGTTGCAACAACCCTAGCAAAGTCCATTTTTATCAAATATTATATGGTCACCAAAAGATACACATAACAATCCTGTTTGCATTTTTACTGATAATCATATTACACGATAACATAAACTTCCCAAATGCCCACAAACACTGGTATGGCCCAGGGTGATGAACACAAACAGAACAACAGTACAAAGAAACAGGACAAAACCAAAAATTTGGTCATAATAAGGTCATAATAAGGATAAAAATGTCAAATAGTATATGTTTTAAAAATCCAGAAAGAAAAGATAACAGATCAAACTCAGGATAGTGGTTGCATTTCCAGAGCACTCTTGATTGGAATGAAGCATGAAGGTTACCAGTAATGTGAAGCAATTGTTTCTAGGAGATGACTTATATAGGTAGTATTTTTAAAGAAGATTTTAAATGAAGTTACCACGTTCTGTAAACTTGCATGGTCCAGGAGGATGGCAAAAGCTCTAGATAGCAAAACTTTTATATGATAAAGATGCCAGGCCTAAATTTCATGGCAACCAGCCAAAGTACAAAGTTTTCTAACACTCAAACTAATACAGGAGACATTATGACTCAATAAAAAAACACAAAATAAGGAATAAAAAAGGCAACAAACAAAATATTTTTAAAAGTCTTACTATAAAAATTATGTTAAGTAATAGATAGGTTAATTAGCTTGATTTAATGATTTCACATTGTGTACACACAAAACAACATTACTTATGCCCTGGTAGCGAGCAGCCCTGCCTCTAACCTCTCAGGTCCTAGTCTTAGAGCAAGGTCTACCTCAGGGCACTAGTTGAACACCCTGTCCTCTAGACAAGCAGTTCCTGAATGACCGTGTTAGGCCATTAGACTAAGCATTGGAGCCCAGGGTCCATTTGGTAACACCTCAATGAGCAGAGAGGAGCCACCAGGGCCTTGACCTTCAGATAAGTAAAGTAAATAAATGTACTTAGTTTTCTTCAACAAACAACACAAACACATTTTTCTGTTTCCCAATGTCTTCTTGCATGCTGGCCACAGGCACCGAAGAATTGGCTCCATGGATGGGCTCCTAAGGCTGGAGCCTGGGCTCTAGGTCTTTATTTCTGTCACCCTCTCTAAGAGCAGACACTTGGAAGTCTGCTTACTTAGTACTCCTCTTTTGATGTCGAGTGTTTCCCTGGTCCCTCTGTATCCCAAACCTACTGTCCTCCCATGCACAGCCAGAGCCCATGTTTGCCCTCAATCACCTCCCCACAATTTACCCTCCTATACCCTATTCCATGTGCAACACCCATGAGGTCTGCCTGACTGCTGAGTGCTGCTGCAGGAAAATCGCATACCTGGAACTTGTCACTAGAGCCACTGAAACAGCATGGCCTCAAAATTCAGATACTCAAAACCCCAGTGACCAATTTCATCTGGACTTCCAGACTCTGCTCACCCCCACATCCCTGCAGAGTTGCCCCATCGCCTCCCTGCACCTTTGCAGGAACTCTCAGTTGATGGCTTCTCCCTGCCCCTCTGCAAAGGAAACACTGGCCCAGGGTGGGGAAACCCTGTCTGCACTCCCAGTGGCTAGGATTACAGGCGTGAACCACCAGCGCCCTGCTCATTATAGATGCCTTATTGTTCTAAAGCTGGAATGTTTTATGTACGCATGACTGGTGACATCAATCTGTCTTACTTTAGCACTATGTTAATGAGAATCACATATGCTGCTCCATATAGCTACAGTTTATTTCTGTTACATTATATTGTTTTATTTAGATATAATATGATCTATTTTCCCCACTCTACTTTAGGGGGCTGTGTAGGCTGCTTCCTGAAGATTATAGCTACTATGAACAGTATTCTTATTCTTTGTATATGTATATGATAATCAAAAAGATGAATTAACCTATGACCCCAGACTGAGCCAGAGTGGGCCTCATAGTGAACTCCCTGCATCAAAGAAAAAAAATGATTAGCCTCTAATTAGGCCAACTTTTAAAAAAAAAGAAGAAATCAAAATCACTAATATCAGAAATGAAAGAAATATCATTACTCTAAATCCATGAACATTCAAAGGATAATAAAGAAAATTTATGAACAAATCTGTTAAAAATTGATAATCTAGGAGAAAGACTAAGTCCTTGAAAGCAAAAATATCTATGAAACTTACAGAAATAGAAATAACTATATTGGTTGATGAATTTAAGTCAATAGGCTGGGCATGGCGTCTCAAGTCTATAATCCCAGCTACTCGGGAGGCAGCAATTGGAAGAATCATGGTTTGAGGCCAGCCTGGGCAAGTAGCTCATGAGGCTACCTCTTAACCAATAAAATTTAAGTGTGGCCAGGTGCAGTGCCCATGGTTCACACCTGTATCCTAGGTAGTTGGGAGGCAGAGATCAAGAGGATCACAATGTGAAACCAGCCCAGGCAATTAGTTCAAGAGATCTTATCTCAAAACACCCAAAACAAAACAGAGCTGGCAGAGTGGCTCAAGTGGTAGAGCAGCTGCCTAGCAAGCATGGTGCCCTAAGTTCAAACTGCAGTAGAAGAAGAAGGAAAAATGAAGAAGAAGAAAGAAAAGCTGGGTGTGGTGATATGTGCCTGTCATCTCAGCTACCTGGGAAGACTAAACAGGAAGACCACGGTCCAGGCTGGCTGGGGCATAAATGAGAGACCCTACCTCAGAAAGAGCTACCGCAAAAAGGGCTGGGGGCATGGCTGGTAGAGCAACTGTCTATTAGTGCTGAGTTGAAACCCCAGTACCACCAAAAAAACTGAGTCAATAATAAGTAAACTTCTAGAACAGAAAGCACCCAGGTGAGATGTATTCTTTTGTGAATTAGACCAAATATTTAAGAAAATAATCATTACAATGTATCTACAGTCTCTAAAAGAAACCCAAGATACTAGGCTCACATTATCCTAATTCAAAAGCCAGACAAAGATATTATATGGAAAGAAAAGTCCACACCAAAAATAATGGGGGAAAGCCTTAAAAGTTAGCAAATTAAATCTGACAATTTGTAATGGGACTATTATATCACAATAAAATGACACTTATTCTGGGTACACAAGGCAGGCTTTTCATTAAAAAGGTACATAAGATATCCAAACCTGAATTACTCTGGAAAAACCTCTATAAATTATTTTTTCAAAAGCTATTACAGAAAATATATTGTGAAGACATGTCTGCAGGCCATACACAGTAGTTCACACCTATAT